ATGAATCTTGCCCATAGAAACTGTTTTCCCTGACAATCTTGACCTGACCTGTTGGGATAATTTTTTAAAAAATCAAATTATTACATCTGTAAAATATTGTTCTTGCTCATGTGCACACTGACGATTTTTCTTTTTGGGTTATTGTTTGTCATCCAAGAATGCACTTTAGGCTCAATACTAAGAAATCTAAATGTGCTTTTTTTATATTCAGTCTTTTACATTTTAAGCAGACCCAGCATGTACGAAGTCCCTTTTTTTCTCAGAAAATTTCATATAAACTTAATTCTGCAGCTCCTATCAAGAATTGTTCTTTGCTGCATTACACCTCTTGATCCCGTTTATCTGCATAATTCAAATGCAACCCTGAAAGATATAAACATAGTGACAGTTTTAAACATATTTTCTGATAATCAGCACAAACTATTACTTGAACCTATTCAATAACATCACCCTGACAGACGGAATTCAATGACCCTCAATAACAACAGATACAATCTCATTGTATAAAATTATATTATGACATGATTGTGTTGAGTTATGACTGAGGTTGACTTGCAATATGGCACGTGTTTTCTTTAGGAGAAGATGATACTTATTGACATTGAGATAATGCAGGATCTAAATTGTGCAGCCTGAGCTTCTGTCATGAAAAAAAATCCCCCAAGAGTAAAGAGATGTGTGAGTACAACCAGCAGACAAATAAATAGTCAAATACTGGTGTGTTTAGCAAGAACAGAACTGTTATGTAACACAAATTTCTTTGCTTGGGCAGGTTCTTTGGTAGCTGATGTTGGGTGGCTCAGTTCAGGTTCCAGAGCTGTGAGGAAAAGGGAGGAAAAGGAGATTGGAATTGGAAATCTCTGGCTGTGGCTGGAGGTGAGAGATCTTCTCTCCTGGGACCTGGCAGACCAAGCTCACTCCTAGGCTAGGACAGCTGTCCAGATGGGTGCTTAGTGGTTGAAAAAGCCAAAGTGACTCCAGAACATCAGGTTCCCCAAGGCACTAGGGAATCCTGTGTTGTTAACGAGATGAGCACAGCTCCTGCCAGGAGAGCCAACGTTCCCACCTTCTGTCCTTCCTCTCTTGGTCTGAGCCCCCCATCCCAGGGAACGTGGGACATTGGGAACCTGCTGGACTATGGGGTGTCTGGTGGGGAACAGCTGCTGAAAGGGAGAACAGCACAGATGGTGTCAAACATCCCTGGTGAGACTCCAGGTAATGGGCAAATGGACAGGGCAAGGTCCAGGTGGGATCACTGCTGGAGCTGCTGGAAGTTGTTGGCCAGACTTGGCCAAGACTTTGCACTTGGTGTCTTGGAGATTTGTGGGTAGATGTATAATTCCTGTGTGTGTGTGCTTCTCCTCCAAAGAAAAACACCCCAAATCCACAAAACCAGAATGAAATATCATTATAATTCCTGTCTTCAGGAAAGCTATTTTTCTAAATAATGAGAAAACCCCAATGTCTTCAGTCCAATTGAATGAGGAAAAACAACCATTCAAAAGTGTCCAGAAGGACAACGGTATTTTACTTTTTATGTGAGAGCAAAAAAGATTTTTGTGCAAAAGCCAAAGCTTCTGAACATTGGGAGTCCCAGCACGTGCAGATGTTGAGGGGTTTGGGTTTGTTTGCCTGAATCATCGGTAGAGCTGATGATTGTATAAAACTTCATTATTACAAGCAGGTTAGAAACACGGAGCTTGTTTATGAATAAATAATTCTGTGTCTATTCTGCAAGGTAGAAAGGACACTTAGGACGTTCAACCTCTCCAAGGATGCCGTGAGCAGGAAGTATATGTGGCAGGAAAGCAGATTTATGGTCAGGTAAATATAGGAAGGAAATGACACTCACAATAAATGGCATTACTGGGGTTTACATACAAAGCCAGGAGTCAAAGCCATTGAGGGCATCCACAGGTTAAAATTTAGAACAGAGAGAAAAGTGGAGGATTTTAAGTCATTTCCATTACTAATGAGATAAAGATCAATGTCCAAATACTTCCTTACCGGCAAAAAGCCACTGAAAATAGCAATCTGCTGCATAATATCAAAATCCAGTGTCACTAATTTGAGAGATGATACATACTCCATGCTGCCTTCAAAAAACTGCTTTTGTGGTTCCCTGAAATGTGGTTTCCACAAAACTATTTCATGGAGGAAAGAATCCATTGGCTGTTTGCCCTGCTGGCCTGGAAGGGGCCAAGCTGTGCCTGGTGGTGTTTCCACCATGGATCCAGGGATGCCAGAGGGATGCTTGGCTGTCATTATCAGGGCAGAATTGCTGGGAAGAGGCACGAGGGGGTTACATCCACAAGTGCTATGGTCTAGAATCCCATCCAGGGATGCCAGAGGGATGCTTGGCTGTCATTATCAGGGCAGAATTGCTGGGAAGAGGCACGAGGGGGTTACATCCATAAGTGCCATGGTCTAGAACCCCATCCAGGGATGCCAGAGGGATGCTTGGCTCTGGTTACCAGAGCAGGATTGCTGGGAAGAGGCACAGGGGATTACATCCATAAGTGCCATGGTCTAGAACCCCATCCAGGGATGCCAGAGGGATGCTTGGCTCTGGTTACCAGAGCAGGATTTTTGGGAAGAGGCACGAGGGGGTTACATCCATAAATGCCGTGGTCCAGAACCCCCTGCCCAGGCTGATGGGTGACCAACCCCATTAACCACAGGTTCTCTGCAGTGTTTGCCCGCACTGGGTTCACCCTGGGTGCAGACACGTGTTCCTCACGTGCTGGCAGAGCCCTGCCCACCCTGCAGGGCTGGGGGCTGCTCTGCTCTGCCCTCCCAGAAATTGCCTCCCTCCCCTCTGAAGTTTCCCCCCTCTGCTGCAGCAGTGCGGGGTCAGGCACACAAAGGTGCTGTCCCCTGATTGCAGCAAACACCGCCATGTGTTGTATGTTTGATGAATTAAAAGGATGCTGCCAACTTAATTACACTGTAACCCTTCAATAAAGGAAGGGCAGAGCTGATTAACTAGTGAATAATTGGGGGCTGATTGATGGCTTTCTCCCTCACTGCTAAAGGCTGTATATATAATTATTTTGCCTGTGGGCCTAATTTTGCCACTGTTAGCTTCCACTTTTGTCATCAGCTGTAATTTATGGATGGGGCCTGAAGCCTTAAAAAAGGCTGGAAAATGAAATAGCCCCAAATCCCCAGATATGTCACCTGGAAATGGCCAGCAGGCAGCCTTTAACATCAACATTTGCAGCCATTTAGCAGCATTAACACCTCATGCTTAGCCGGAAAATAATATTATCATTTGTCAACAACTATCATAATATAGATTTTTTTCCTGACATGTAATAATGTTGCATCACTCACATCAATGATTTAATATATGTTTTAAATGCAAGATCAATTTATTGCGACTGAATAGCAAATTCTTCTAGTAATGCACCAAAAGAAAATAAGAGAGCCATGGGAGGAAGAACCACTTCCCTCATTGCAGGCTGGTTCCAGAATTAGCATCTAAGTCTCTAGCGAACCCCCCAAATCACAGCAAACTAAGATGATTTTTGAAACTTGGTTTAAACAATATATAAAAATACTTTTTTCTTTGAACTTTGAAAGATGCGGCAGCAGCTTCAAAGAAAATATAGTTAATGAATCACTGAGCTTAAAAAACATTGGGGGACAATTTTCCACTGACTGTCAATCAGCAGAGCTGCACAAGAGCCCGTGGAGCTCCACTGGTTTGCACAGGATGTAGATCTGGCTCTTTGTATTTTAAATTGAAATAAGATTTCTTACATTTTTTTCTTTTTCTATAGAGAAACAAAACCTAATCATTAATGCTGCAAACTAAACAGCAAAAGACACTTTGTTTTGAAGGATTGAATTGCTTCAGTGGCAAAGAGATGCCCCCCCAAAAGTCAGCCTGTTTGGGGAAAACACCACATGCTGATTAGAGCTGCTCCAGTGACTGCCTGCTTTATATTCCACAAAGATTTTTTCAATAAAGTAATAACAACTTAGATTCACTTTTTTTCTTCTTTTTCTTTTTCTTTCTTTTTTTTTTTTTTTTATGGGAGGGGAAAACCATATTTAAACATCATGGAGAGGAGCCTTCTAATTTATAAGCCAAGATATACAAATCCTCTCTCTCAAATTTCCTTTGTTGTTTTGTCCTCGCCGAGCACTCCCTTGCCTATGAATCACAGAAAGATTTGAAGAACCTTTCAGTCAAAGCTCAGTTTTGTGCCAGTGGGCACTGGCCAGGAAAAAAAAAAAAAAGATTGATATTTGCCCTCTCTTCTTATCTGCACTTGATTTATAAGTCAGTGCGAGTATGCAAGAGAAATAAAGGCAAAGACCTTGATGCCTCCCTGTGGAGAATATGCACCATTTGGATTGAAGGCATGAAAGAGGAGAAATTAATGGTAAGCTGTTCATCTGTCACTACTGCCAGCCTGATGGTTTTGCAGGGAAGGAGAGGACTGGCTGACATGCCCTCCAGTCAAGGGCATGACTGCCCGCTGTTCTCATATTATAAACACAGTGCTTTGGGTTTCTGAGGGATTTAAATTTAAATTATACTGTACTTTGGATAGGCAAATCTTTACACAAGTTTATTTTCTTGAAGTATTAACATGCAGGATTTCGCTGGCTTTATGTGGAAGAAAAATAAAAATTAAGTCCCTCTGTTTGATAAAAATGTGTAGCAGACTCTTAAAACGTATCCCTATTTCTAAAGCAGTGTGTTATAGTGTAATGAGATTTAAATTTATATATGCATTGAAGATTTAGGCACAGGCATAAATAGATAAGCTTTAGTTATTCTACTTTCTGGCACATAGGGAAAGATTAAAAAGTTCAAAATAGGAGTTGAATATTTTTTTCTATTAAAATGGTATAATACTAAGTGCTGCTATCGATGACAACATTAGGAACACATCTGGAGGATAAAAACTGACACAAAACTTTCATGTTGTTCTCAACGACAAGAAAAATGTACTTATTGCTAAATGACTTATTTTCAGGGCTGAGCATTTGTGTCATCTCGTGCTGCTTTTGAAATGTTTTGGTCTGCTCGAGTCCTCATGCTGCTCCTGTGGCTCTGATGAACCTCTGTGTGTCACCAAAGGTACTGGGGAAAATTGGAGAGGTTTTGGGTGCCTGGCTAGGTTTGGATAAGTGCACAAGGACATGAATTTGATGCTAAATTTTGCACCAAGTTCAGGATTCAAATCTGGGGACATTACAACCACCCAGACCCACTGGCTGTTTAAAACTTTCTTTGCTGAGCAACAGTGGCTTGTGAATTCTTGTTTTTCATGAAAAAAGGGAAAAGTGAGTTGCTAGTCCACTGCTTTCAAATTACCTTGTGTTTTATAAACTAAGAGTTAAAAAAAAGTTTCATCACTTATTTTTGTTAATGTCTTCTGAGTTTGGAGCTTATTTCATTATTTCCTGAAGCTCGAGTGATGATTCCTGAAATCCTGGTTTAGGAAACAGATTTCAATGATAACTGTGCACAATTAAAGTGATGTTTGTTCTTACTCCAGCAAAATTATTGGCTGGCTGAAAGAACAGGGAATCTTCCACAAGCCTGACAAAGATAAACCAGTCAGAGAAGAGGAGATGGGGGTTGCTTAGGTCTGAGATGACCCTCTAGGGTGCTCAGGAAGGAAGGACATCCTTCCCTGTGCCATGACTGGCATCTCCATGCAAACCTCATGGAGCTCAACAAGTGCAAGGTGTTGCCGTGGGTCAGGGCAATCCCAAGCACAAATCCCAAGCACAAATCCAGGAAATGGATGGAGAGCAGTCCCAAGGAGAAGGACTTAGGGGTGGTGGTGGATGTGAAGCTCCACAAGTCCCAGCCATGGGCACTGGATCCCAGAAAACCTCATGTCCCGAGTTCCTCCTCAGCATGGGCAGCAGGAAGGGGAGGATTCTGCCCCTCTGCCCCACTCAGGTGAGACCCCACCTGCAGAGCTGCCCCAGCCCGGGGTCCAACAGCAGGAGGATGTGGAGGAGGCCACAGAGATGCTCCAAGGTTTGGAGCCCCTCTGGAGCCAGGCTGGGAGAGCTGGAGGTGTTCACCTGGAGAGGAGAAGGCTCCAGGGAGACCTTGGGGCCTCTTCCTTGTCTTTGAGCTGATTCCACCCTGATTGAGGGCTCTGCTTCCATGGGCACCACAATCACCCATTTCCATCAGCTCCAGGATAACCCTCAGCTGGGAAACTTTCCTCCCTGAGGGATGAGAATCAAGGTGTTCACAGTCCTAATCAAAATTAGCTGGCCACAGATATCACACCAGGGCTGGGAAAAATTCACCTTCATAAATTCCCAGTCCCTCTTATCTCCCTGCTCCTGAAGCATCTCCTCTGCACCAGTGACAGGCTCTGTGCTGGGTGAGCTGCCCAGCGCTCCGTGTTCAACTCCCCACTGGAATCTGCCTGGAGTTTTGGCAGATTTCAAATGCTGGAGGTGATATTTTCTGTGCCAGCTGTGAGTCGAGCAGTTTTTTAGAATATTTTTGCTAAAATGAGTAAGATTTTTCCTCCTTTTTTTTTCTTTTTTAAGAGATTGTGGGAATGCGTGTTCTTTCACAGTCTTCAAAATTATAATAATTTTCCCCAGCAGCTCCAGCTCCTTCAGGCTTGGAGCAGGTACTTCATTACTTGACGCTTTTTCCTTTTTTTTTTTTTTTATTTCGTTCTTGTCAAAAAACCCTCCTGTGCCCCACTTTATAGGCATGTTAAAAATCTGTTTGCACTTGCTGAGTCCATCTGCACCGAGGCTGATCCGTCTCCTCGCAGTTCCGAGCGCGGACGCGGCGCCCATACGGAGCATCCATGGCGCGGCCACACCGGAGGAGCCGAGCAGAGAACGCTTCTCCCTCTGCTCTGGGGTCACCTCCTGCTGGTCCAGGGACAGCACAAACCCCACACAACCGAGCATTATTTTCTCGGTGCTGAGTGTTTGTGCAAACGCCGGCAAATTGTGTGTTTCCCATATGTGGAGTGGTGGGGCACGGACAAAAAAGCTGCTTGCTGTCACAGGGCGCGTGGGGAGCTCGGGCACAGGAGGTGGCAGAACGAGTCTAGAGGTCCCAGTTTTGCTGATGAAGTGAAGTGAAGGAAGGTCGTCTGGTCCTGCAGGCTGAGCACTTTTCAGGCTCAGCTTGTTTGTTGTTTGGGGAATTGCATTTGAAAGAGAGCAACGGAATGCAAAGGTTGGGAAGTTAAGGACTAAAAAGTCAGAAAATGCTGTTACAGACACATTTTTAATGTTTTTATATATTTATATTATTTCTTTTCTGAGCAGTGCACTAAAATGTGTTGTGGGGTTCCTCAGTCTGGGGAAAAGGAGAGACCTTATTGATCTGTAGCTCCCTGACAGGGGGGAGGAACCAGGTGGGGTTGGGCTCTGCTCCCAGGTGATAATTGACAGGATGAGAGCAAACAGCCTCAAATGTCACAGGGACAAGTTTAGATTGGATATTAGAAAGAATTTGTTTTTTGTAAAGCATTAGAATAGGGAACCAGGGAAGAGGTGGGGTTATCATTCCATGGAATTTTCCAAAAACTGTGGATGGGGCCCTTGAGGACATGGGGGGTTGGTGGTGACCATGGTGGGGTGGCTGAGTTGATGGTTGGACTCAATGATCTCAAAGGTCTTTTTCACCCTTATTGACTTCATGATCCCACAGAATGGTCTCTCCTCTCCCAGCAAATCTGGTTTTCTCATGCTCATCACCTATTATTTCCCAAATGCTGTCCAAATTTTGGACTTTTCCTCATGGATTTTCCCCTGACCCTCTCCCCAGGGCTCTTTACAAAGAACAGATCTTTGCTAATAGTTTGTGTAGGGGTAGAGAGGAATCTCCTCCTTCCAGAGAGGGTTGGCTCCATTTTACAGATTCATAATCAGGCACTGAGATAAAAGATATTTCCAAAGCACCAATAAATTGGTTTTTATCTTTTCTGGCTTGATTCACCTTCATTGATTCATAGAAAGGAAATGTTGACAGTGAGGTCAGTGGTTCCTGGAAGTGTCCAAGGTTGGACAGGGAGCAGACTGGGACAGTGCAAGATGTCCCTGCCATGGCAGGGGATGGTTCTGGATGGGCTTTAAGGTCTCTTCCAACCCAACACATTCTACAATTCCATGATTTACGCTGTATCCAACTACAGACAGCAGCAAAATAAAAATCCTGATTTATTTCCATGCACAGTCATCCCTGGGCACTTATGAGCCTGGATTTCTCTGGCAAAAAAAAATTTCAAAGCTGTGTGTGAGCAAGTAATTAACAACCACATCATGGTGAAGACAGGCAAGGGCCAAATTAGAGTTGCAGAGGGACCTTTAGTTCCAGCATTTCTCAGCTATTGAGCATTTCAGTATGTGGAATTAGCAATTTTTAGCTCAGTTTTAAAGCTAAGGATGTATCCACATGAACTGAAAAACTGCCTTTTAACACACTTTTAAATTTCTTATTTTTAGTTCTCTTTTTACAATCAAATTCTTGATGTTGTCTCTAAAAGAAAACCCCAACCCTATCAATATAAATTAAATATCCATACAAAGAAGAAAAAAAAAATTATTTCATGTTCAGCTTCAGAGAGAAATTCTTATATTTCTGTTCTTAGGGTGGCCTAATTGTGAAAGTATTTTGGAATTTTTGGGGAACTGGTTTTATTCCTCTGTAATGAAAAATATGTCGCATTGGAAATCTTTATTTTTTCTAAGAGGAAGGAACAAGATTAGTAAGAAAACTTTAAAGCAAGTTGAATACTTTGTTGAAGATTTTCAGAAAATTCTCCTAAGAAATCACTGAAGTACTCCTTTAGCTTCCTAAATGTGGCCATATTCTCATATGTAAAAACTGATCCTTGTAAGAGACCTTCTGGCACCTTCTTTGCCTCATGGGATCTCAGCACTCAGGGATTTGCTGTTGTTTTGTGTGGCCCAAAAACCACCCAAAATTCATCCTCAGATTTAATGCTAAGTCTAAATGACAGCAAGATTATACCCAGAAGTTCTAGGTTTGAAACATAAGGGGCCACTAATATTTTCTGTAAATATTTTAGTGTGTCTGGACTACAGTTCTCAGAGTTCAGCTGCTTATTTTTGTTGGGCTTTGTTGCTTTTTATTTTTTTCTGGGCACTTGATTAAAACTTTGGAAATAAATGCAATTTTATTTTTATTTTATCTCTGAAATATGATTATAAATGACCTTTGATAAAAAGTTAACAGAGAATATGTCAGGAAGCAGCTCAGAAGGAAAAGATTAAAAGCAGGCAGTCTAGAGAGGTGTTTAATTTCAATTTTCTTTGTGGTATAAGAAATCTGTAGATTTTAAAGCCATCGTGCCATAGTTACTTTTATCAGCCGGGCTCTTTTGTTTTGTTCTGCCACCTAATTCTTTTGATGACAATGAGTCCACAGTTTTCCAATGACTGATTTCGATTTGCATGTTATTGTCAGCCTTTTATATTTTATCATATCTCCACTTTGGTTTTTATGCAGATCCTCACATCAGAAGGCAAGGGCAGGCCGAGCTAAACAGCTGGCTGGATTTGCATGAAAATGGACTGCCCTTTTTCATTTGTTTGTTCTTGGGAAATTACAGTAGGTGAGTATCTGACTCAAATTTCCCAAACAAATAAAGATAAAACTTCACAGATATTAAACTGTGGAGCATTAAACTGTATCATTTTACATATAAAAAGAAAAGGATTAAATAGAATTAGTCTGTTGAGCTGACTGAGGAGAAACAATGTGAGTGACGGGCTGAAAACTAAAGATACAAAAGAACTGTGGTGTCTTCAAGAGATTTTTCTCTCCAAATATTTTCCTTGGCCGTGTTTAAAGGATAAACACTAATAGAAATATTTCCCCTATGAATTGAAGATATTTTTGCTAAGGAAAAGAAAACCATAATCTGTTATAAGCCATTATATATTTGATAGCGTTCCTGTATTTATGCATTTATTTTCTGCACAGAGCAGTAGCAGCAGCCCCTTAGCAGTGGAAATTCTTTACAGCTCGGGCTGGCCTTGTAAAGCAGACAAGGTTCTGAACATGACCAGGGGCAGGTGACATTTAGAAGCCCACATTGTTCTCAAGAGGCCAAATCTGCAGGGCAAGGGACGAGCTTTTCTTAGACTGGTTGCTGGGGGTGGAAAAAATGAGCAAGCTTTGGGGCACAGGAGAGCCTGAGAGCTGACAGAGAGGGGCATTATACGTTTGAAGAGTAAGGTATCAAAATAACACATGGCACAACTTGGAGTTGTCAACAGACTTATAAATTATTTAGAGCGTGTGTGTCCTTGTGTGCCTGGGAGCTCGTCCCTCTCCTTCCAGACAGGCTGCTGGAGCTTATAAAAGTCATGGCACTCCCTCCAAACCTCACCTCTCTGCCCTTAGACCATCACAGAAAGCAGAGAAAGACTATAACTTACATTAAATAAAGGTTTGGAAAGAGACAGTTTAATTATTTTTTGCCTAGACTTTCAGCTTAGGTAGGAGCTTGGATTACCAGTGGTGTTTTACACTTCCTAGAGTTAAACATCTGGGGCAAAGAGCTGTCAGCTCAGAATTTCACCAAAAAGTGGTAACGGCGAGTGCTGCATGATGCATTAAAAGTGTCTCCTTTCCTCTGAAGTGGTTGGAATTGGGCAGGTGGAGTTACAGCCACACAGTGCTGGGACAGAAGCAGCGGCCCCAGGGAGCAGCAGAGAGCCAGGTGCCAGCCAGGGCAAAATCTGTAGGGTAAAATACATTATCCTGTCTATCTAATTAATTAATTAGTTGTTCAGAATTCTTTCCTGCAAGAAAAGGAAAATCTGGAGAACAGTTTAAATCCTTTTTCTTCTAAATGCAGCAAAATCACGTTGAACTTCCATCATACATTAAAACCTTTCACTAAAAAAAGGATCCTAAACAACTCCTAAGCCTGGTGACATCCCTGGGCTTTGCTTTGTGGTGGTGCTGTGGAACCTCAGCATCAACAGCAGAAGACAACCAGTCCCAGCTGAGGGCAGAAGGTCCTAATCCACCCCCTGGGAAGCTGAAATTGTTGTTCATAACAACCATAATATTATATTATACAATATAATTGTGAATGGTTAAAAGGAGACCCAGAGCTGCCAGGTGGGTGTTCCTTCAGATGGGCAGGAGCTCTCCTGCTGCTGGGAACTTGGAGTTTCTGAGGGATATTTTCAGTGTGATGGACACTGCGCCTGGGGGACTGACCTTGCCGTGCCTACTGTTGCATTCAGCTATTTAAAAAACTTAATGAATATTGGTTTGTTTTAGGAAATTCACATAAGGAATTGCTCCTGCTTCGCTCACCTTCGAGCAGAGATTCAAGGTTGGATTTTCCCTGGGTTCATTGGACATATCTCTGATCTACAATTTGAGTCTCTGAAGGTGAGAAATTTCTGAGGTTTTGAAAGCAGGAATGGCTCACAGTCTGGTATGGGAGGAAAGACATTCCTGGGTAAAATGGGAAATTTTGCTGGAGTGTGTCCAGAGAAAGGCAACATGGCTGGGGCAGGGTCTGGAGCACCAGGAGGGGCTGAGGGAGCTGGGAAGGGGCTGAGCCTGGAGCAAAGGAGGCTCAGGGGGCCCTTGTGGCTCAGGGGGCCCTTGTGGCTCTGCACAGCTCCTGACAGGAGGGGACAGCCAGGGGGATCAGGCTCTACTCCCAGGGAACAGGGACAGGAGGAGAGGGAACGGCCTCAGGCTGGGCCAGGGGAGAACCAGGTTGGATATGAGGGAAAACTTCTCCACAAGAAGGGCTGTCAAACCCTGGCAGAGCTGCCCAGGGCAGTGGCGCAGTCCCCGTCCCTGGGAGGTTCCAAACCCACGTGGATGTGGTGTTTGGGGACGGGGTCAGAGTTGGGTCTGGCAGTGCTGGTCACTGGCTGCACTCCATGATCCTGAAGGGATTTCCAACCTTGGTGATCCTGGGAATTAACACTGGGCTTGGTTTTTGGGCAGAGAATGCCTGGGGTGAGGGTTTGCTGTCCCTGCTCTTCCCAGGGGCAGGAAGGGGTGTCCTACAGCACCTTCAGATCTGTGTGCCGAGCTGCCCCCAAAGCCTGCTAAACACCTTTCTTACAAAACTCCCCATTACAAATTCCTGCCTGTGAAAGTCACTGAACCTCCAGAAATTTTATGCTCAAAACCCAGAGACTCTGTGGAAACTTGTCACAACTCAGTATTAACAGAGTTGTCCTGGCAATACAAATAATAAGCCAAAATTTGGCTTATTATTTACTTCCCATTGATTTCATTTTGTTGTGTTGTATTGCTGGACTTCTTCCTACAAATCTTGTGTTTCCAAATATCACAAACAGATATCAAAAGTTGCAAAGGCATTCTTGAGACCTCTCCAAGGGTTTGCTGTTGTTCCATTTGCAGCAACCACAGCCCTGGCATAGCTGTGAGTGCCTGGAATCACCAGCAGCCAGCCAGACAACTGCTCAAATTGCTCTGATGTTCCAATACAGTGTAGAAATAATGCAGGAAACAAGACATTTTGGCTCTGGAAGCTGACCTGGAAATGGATTTCTGGAGTAAGTCGAGTATTTGACTTGCTTTTCATTTTAATGAAAAGGAACAAACAGTCTCAGATTTGGCAAAGTTGAACAATTTGAGGGTTTTTTTCTGTTGTTTGTTTAGTTTTTTGGTTTTTTGGTGGTTTTTTTTTTTTTTTGGTTGGGTTTTAATCTGGGCTCACATGAGGTTTTCTTCAGTGCTTGGATGTGTTTGAATGAATTCTTCCTGCTTCTGCTGTATTAATCAAACTGGGCTGGCATGGCAAAAATCAGCAGCACTGGGAGAAGGAGCCAGTGCATCAAGGGCCAGCTCTTGTTATCAAGTTGTGATTTTTCTTTGGACCTCTTCAGTTTTGCAAACTGTTGGTGGATTCTGTTATGGCTCCAGCGTGATAACGATAATTAATTTGTGTTTTAAGGGTTACATCTTCATCTGATATCCAACTGCTGCTGGAACTATGTGAATTTACCCTTGGGGAGGGTCAAGTGCAATATGTGGGTCTGCATTTTGCAGAAAACATTATTCAGATTGTATTTGAAAAACCTATTTTTACATTGAATTTGTAATGCAGCTTCTTGCATAAATCCCTGGCTATAATTAGCAGTGTAGTACCACTGCCATACTTAGGAAATCTGGTGTAATTTGGGGAATCAGCTCTTTTTTCAGCATGAAACAAGCTAAAACTCTTTGTCCTGCCACCAGAACACCAGTGGCAAAGCCTGTGCATCCACAGCAGAGCCTGTTTTGCTGCAGGAGGCCAATGGAACTTGGCTCAAGTCCCCATTCCTGTAGGACAACCCAAATTCAAGGATTTTGCCCTTTTCTGGTGCTTTCCTGGTGTGATTAATGGTGCCCTGTGGCTCTGTTGACCTCAGGGGTAGTGCCAGGACTCCTCTGAGCCTGACACCTTCAGATTATCCATCTTGTAACCCATTTTTTCCTCAAACTGCCAGAATCCAGCTCTTGGTTGGGCTCATGATGACTTCAGCATCACCCACCCTGCAGGGGAGAAAGAGAAATGTGAGTGCAGATTAATTTGCATTATTCTTGAATAAAAGTGCCCACCATTAGAGTTGGTTATGGCATGGTCACTCCCAGTTTCCACCTGAATTATGGGTGCACAAATGTGCATTTTCCCCCAAATAATGGGAAAACCAGGATCTCCATAACCCTGGGCCTCTCAGCAGTTAAATTAATTTGGTTGTGAGACAATGTTTTGTTTTTGAAGCCTTTCACAATGCTGAAAGGACACTGAGAAAGCCTTCATGTGATTCTTAAATTTCAATTGAGAAAAAACAAATGTGGCTCTTTTCTGTCAATATTTTCTGTTTCCGTGGGTTTTGTGTTAAACTCCTGTACACAGGGACTGTGTGTTATTGATAACGTGGGACTGGACTTGGTGGATTTTAATGTCTTTTTTCATGTTTATATGGAACATTTTTGAAGCAGCAATTAAAATAATTAAGGAGGGTGAAGAAATCTTTAGCATGCAACAAAGATTTCTGCAAAATGTTAATTTCTGTCAAATAAGTGAATATATGCACAGATGCCTCCTGACAGAGGCTGTGATTTCTGAGTGCTTTGCATGCCAAATAACTTGTTTACCCCCTCAATGTTTGCCAAGTTTACTGTCAATTTACAAATAATTTCCATTTTGCTGTTTATTCTGCTGCCTTTTGATGGATATGTCTTCCAGACTTTTATCTTGCATGTAGACAAACTAATTAATATTTTCCCTTCAGGCAAATATTTTTTTCTTAGATCTAAATGTGGGTTAGATTCTTCTTCGTTTCCATATGCTTTGTTCTGTCAATCACTTCTCTTCCATGTTACTAAAAATGTACCTTTGTGGATGTCATTTCTCATGTTTTACAGATTTATTTCACCTCCATCTATATGGGAATGTGTGTATGGAGAGAGACATATTTGTTATATATGTGTTCATGTATGTTTAAAAGAAAGAGTGAAAATACTCGCTCTGTGTTAAGATTTGGATCCTAAGACTGAATGAAAATGCATTTTTGTCTCGCCTGTTGCTGCCATTTCCCAGGCTTGACCTCGCAGTTTGTGGTTCCTGCTGCCCATATGGCACGGGCAACACTGAGCACTTCTCTTCTGCAGGGTCAGCCCTGGTTCCTGCACATCTCTCTGACCTGGCCCAGCCTTTCCAGCCACAACTAAAATATTTGGGATATCCCATTTCCACCCTCCTACAGCACAGGCCACAGTGAGATGAGCAGGATGAGGCAGGAGTGGTTCTTGGGCCACTGGGATCCTGCAGGAGAGGTTGTGGAATCAGTCATGGAATGGTTTGAGTTGGAGGGAACCTTGAAAATGGACCTTTAAAGGCCATCTGGTCCAACCCCTGCCATGAGCAGGGACATCTCCAACCAGATGAAGCTGCTCTGAGCTGCATCAAACCTGACCTTGGATGTTCTCAGGGATGGAGCATCCACCACCTCTCCAGACAATCTGTACCAGCATTTTACCACCCTTATTGTAAAAACTTCTTCCCCCAGGCTGCCCTGGTCAAGCTCTGCCACCCTTAGTGCCCAAAATTCTTCCCAAAACCCCAGCCCCAGAGACTCCCCTCCCACAAGACCCTTCACGAACATTTAGCTGCGTTTAAAGATCTCCGAGAGCTAAATATTGTCATATCCAAAAAACAAGATTTCCACGTACTCCCTGAAGGTTCCACAAAGCTTTGAGGCTGTATTGGAAGACACAGTGCTGGATTTAAAAAAAAAAAAATTGTTATCATAAAGCCTGCATGTTACCCACGTTCTGCTGAGAAAAACACAGGTGGTAACCGAGAGCGCAGATATTGTGAACAGATTCTTGCAACTTACCAGTCGTAAAAATATCCCTGCAAAAAAACTACTCCCAACGACTCTGTTTACAGAATGCTTGGTATTTCCTATATCTGGAAATACTCTCGTTGGAGCTCCATATGTCGCAGCCAGTCTGACAAGCTTGCTTTTGAACTGTTTGCAGGTTGCAGTCTGTCTGGAGGGCTGGGTGCTGATGCCTTCAGGTTTTTAGGCCCCGCATTATGGGCATGATTATCTTGTTCACTTTGCAGGCATGGAGAAACGGAGCTGGGATTTAGCAGGATTTGAAGAAACTTCCTAATTATGCCAAGTAGAGAAGTGCCTGAGTGAAATCTCTGCCAGAACCCCAGGTTTTTTATTACTGGTTCTGTTTTAAGTGTATCTCTATAATTTTCTGTGTTTCTGCTTTTGTTTATATCATCGTAGTCAGCAGGACTGCGAGATTAAAAACTGAAATATATTATCTTCGCACATCCTCCAAACCTGTCGAGAAAGGAGGAGAAATTAAACAAGGACAAAAACTCACAGTGAAGTGAAGCTGTTTCCTTTGAGCTGCCTTATTAACCAGTCAAGTACTTGACTGCCACTGTCAGCGAGATTTCTTTAGAGAAAGAGTGGCATTTTGAAAAATACAAATTCACCGCCTGCACAAGTTAATGAGGCCCTTCAGCAATGTTCATTGATAGTGTAAATTCATCATAATACAGTGCTACAAACCATAAATGGGATCTGCATACAGGAAATCAGCCACTATTAGAAATTTGCCAGACATGGAAAGAAAAAGAAGCCATTGATAAGCAGAAAACTCATCTGAGCCTCTCAGTGCTGATGGTGTGCAGCACATCAGCAGTGCCAGAGAGTGCCACGACGAGAACTTATTAAGGTGATTTGAGGTGGCTCATCAAGTAGATTTTCCTCCCCTTTGTTCGTGTTTTATGGGCTCTCAGCTGCCTCCCTTCCACTCTCCAGCGCTGGGTGAGATAAAGTTTGCTGTGTAAGGACTATCCCTGACATAAAGGAACAAATGTCTCCAAACATGGCCCTTTTCTGTGCACGCACAGATGTGCCCCTGCTTTTAATTGATTTTCACTTGCATTTGCAAATGAGAGTTTTGCAGACACCAAGTCATCTTCAGGGCTGTACAGGACACCAGAAGTGGACAGTAACAAAAATTGGCAACAACCCAGGAATAATATACCAAGGTGACTTCCTGATCTTTGAAATAATTATTGAGCAGTGCTGTTTTGCTGCCCATATCAATCAATAAATCTCTCTACATGCAATACATTCATTATTCCTACCCTCGGTGAATAGTGTCAGTTTAAAAATCTCGGGGACCATTAGGTCAATATTTTAGTGGGATTTGTCTGTTGGCCACTTTCCATCATCCTGCTCAGGAAGTGAATAGAAAATGAATGCCTTGCATCATGATCATAAAGCAGGCAGCTCCTTGAAGAGAAGAGGTGACCAAACTTTTAAAATCTTGAAGACCATCACCACAGACAGGCAGGAGGCTGCAAAATTAAATTAATGAACTTGAAGAAATAAAGCAGATTGGTATGAAAAGGCTTTAAATCATCTGTATCATCTCCTGTGGTCTTGATTCCAAATATAGGGAGATCTGAGGAAATATTGCATCAGGTTAGATGTTGAGAAGTGGGAAAAGAGAATTAATTCCCTGGATGCTGACTCGCTGCTTTTGGTGAATCTGAACGTTACAGAACCACAAAGGATCATCAACAGAGGAACCTGAGGAGACGCAAATTCTGCTTTCCCTCTTCCCGCAGCGTCTTTGGTTTCCCATGTGAAACCAGGCCAAGGCCGTGATCTCTGATCTCTTCCAGGGGATCTGCTCTCAGGTATCACCTGTGGCCTTCCCCAGGGATAGTTCAGAACTCATTCCCATCCATGGAAACCACGGAGCACAAGTGCCCTTCTCCCAAAGTCACCTGTTTGGCCAGGCTGACGTGTTTGTGTCACCAGCTGCACGAGCCATTGGGCAGAGCAGCAGAAGCCTAAGCAAACATGTCTTTCTTTTGTAAACAGGAATAATTATGTTGACTGGAAGACAAGTAGGAATAACTGAGCAGAAACTGCAGATGTTGATGCTTTCTCTTCCCTCTGTCTTTCAAGCCCCTTTGGTAGCTCCTCTGCGCGGATCCTGTTCCCTTTCCTGGCGGCAAATTTCTCTAAGCATTTTTTCTGTGCCTCTTCTATCTTCCCCATGCTGCAAACTATTCAAGCTGACAGGCTGGAGAGATGCTTCTTGGTCCTCTTCAGCATCCTCCTCCTCTTGTGTTCCTCCTCCCCTGTTCCCTGTTCCAACCTCTCCTCTTTCCTTTCCCCATCAGACTTTCCCCTGGCCTTGGTAGCCCCACTCTTCTGAACCACATTTCTTCTCAACTCCTGCCAAAGCCCATGGGATGATTTCCAAAGGGAGCTTGGTGTCTGAAAGGGTGGGTTTCGAATAAATCTGGAGTGGAAGTTGTTCAGGGCTCTGTGGGAGATGAAATGGAGCGAGGTGTGTTCATTCCCTTTGCTGGCTATTCCAATCCCCAGCTGATAATTACCAACAATGGATGAAAATGTGCTTGGGATATATCATAAGAAGAAATCATATGGAAATATTAGGCAGCCTATTATTGTAAGGCTCTTGTAAATACTGTTTCATAAGAAGAACCTATCTAAGATGATGTAAAACTTAATATTCCTATTAAGAAGATGTACTGTACTATTTCCAATTCATATCAGTGAAAATGCATTTTAAATTACAAAGTACTCGTATTTTATCTGAGCCAATGTTCTGATTCATATGTCTCCTCTTTAATCCTATTTTCATTCAAAGTTTCACAATTCACATCTTTTTCCCATTTTCTATAATACTTTCTGTGTTTTCAAAATGTAATCAAAGCTTGTTAGCTTCTACCCAACCATGTTTGGCTGAATGGGAATATTAATAATACCAGCTATTGATGTCTTTATGTTAAAATTTGATTTATTGAGCAAGTGGCACATAATCTGTGGGGAAAATACCTAGAGATAACACCTTGAGATGATTAATTGTGTTTACAGTGCATTTCTGTAATAATTGTTTACAAGGAAATTTATGCATGAGTTGCTGCCCCAGTTCAAAAGAATAACTCATCAGATTGTCAAGCTCTCTGCTCTTGAGTATTCCAGCTAATTGCTATCTTTGCTAGTTGAGCATCATAAATCCTTCTTCCACAGAGCTGAGAGCAGGATTTTTTGGATCCTGCTTTTGCATGCAACCTTTTCATCCCTGGGAACATCAGTTTCCTCCTGCAGGAAATAAAAAAAAATCTGTAAGGGGCTGATATTGACAGAAGATTGTGACAAGTTACCCGGTGGCATCAGGTCTAACTTCTAAAGGAGCTTAGGCAATCATGTCTTAAAATCTGTGTTGGGTGAATTTGCCAGGAATGTTACTGATAAAGGATAACACACAATGATGTAGACTGAGTCTTTAAAAACACTAAATTCCCAGTTCTGCTGCTCCCTACTCTTGTATTTCCTTCTCCTGCACAAGTGCTGCAGGGTAGAGATGGCAGGATGGGTTGGGGAATGGTTCCTTTGCAGCCATCTGTGCTTATTACTGATCTAATAACAACTGCACAATTCTCCCTTTTGGAATTAAATCCGTCTTTATAAATTCACAGACATAAAAATACTTTTCTTCTGCACAGCTTCATGCATTTTGAGTTTGCTTTTTTTTGTTCTATTTCCAATTTTGCAGTTTAATTATTTCATAACTAACTCTCCTGTAGTTGCAGGAGTGTTATCCAAGCAATGTGTTGCCAGGAAGTAGTTGATAATGTTTAATAATTCCTGATTACATTCCTGTTCCAGTCCATGATCATGATTATACAAATGTTTCTGGTGCTGTTTTTCAGTACAAATCCTCCTTTTCAGTTTCTTTCCCCTCCTTGTTGACAGTGTGTTGGTCAGAATACAAGAGAAACCGACCTATTTGCTGGTTTAATTAAAGATGTCAGTGAAATCCTTAAGGTTTGCCTGGGAAGGAGCAGATTTACTTGCTGCTTTTATGCACACTGTGGGATTTAAACATTTTGAGAATTGCTTTGGTGATTTTTCCCAGGAGATAAAGGAATGGATTAAGTGAAGTAGTTTCTGACTATAATTGGTCTGGTTTAAACACTTAAAAATAACTTTAAGAAATAAGAAAACACAAAACAGGTTTTCAAGTAGGGATTTAACTTTTTCTTTCCCCCTTCCTCCCCAGCTATGTGTTTATTCCAGCTTTGGTATCTCATTGTGAACTATCAAAGTGGGCTGGACCTGAGGTGGGATATCTGTTCTTGGAACAGCAGAGGACAGATGTCTGGAGGAGAAGAAACAAAAGCCCTAAATCTGAAGGAACAGCAGGAGGAGAGAAAAAGGAGATGAGAGGGAAGGAAGAAGAAAAAAAAAACCCAGAGGCTTTCAGCCTTCGGATCAGTTATTTGCTCTTTGCAAACAAAGTGGGCTGGGAGTGCTTTAAACTTGCCGAGGTTTGCCGGCAGAGCAGCCCCATCAAAGGCTCCACCTGTTGCTCAGGTGTTCCTGGCACTGCTGCTGCTCCTCTGCATCAGCCAGGGATGCACCTGGGGCACCATGGAAAAGCTGTTCTGTCTCCTTTTCCAGTCAAACACCTGGGCTCTGCTCTCTGCCTCGCTTTGTCTCGGGCAGGTGAGCGGCCAGCAGCGAGGAATTGCTGCCAAATTGTTCCTGTCATGGTCGCTTGGAGAGGCAGAGGTGGAGTTGGTGTAAATCAAAATATTCACATGGCTAAACCAAGATTAACTCTGTCCCCCCTAATGCCATCAGCTCCTACAGTACCAGCTGCACCGAGTGAAGGCAATAAAACGCCCTGCTGAGCAATCAGAAAATATCAATTTAACACCTAAACTTATGCTTGTGGTCCAGAGAAATGAGGATCACTGCTATGCCTGTAGTAAAATCATTCCTATCAAAACTTGTGATATGGGAATTCTTGAGAGGAGAGTAAAAAAAGCCACCCAAGGCTTTACAAGCAGGTTTTGATCCAAAGTAGACGCAATAACACAACACATGAAGCAGATTCTGTAGGAAATATTAGACTAATCTTACAAAATATTCCAACCATGCCTATCAAGGAACATTAATAACAGTGTTATTGACAGAGTATTCATTTGAAGTCATTCTGTTGGATACAATTAACATTTAGATGAGAGACAGTTATAGGTACTCTGATGATATATATGAAAGAAACAATGACTCATCCCTCCAGCAGCATCGGTACCAAACCTCACAGCAGGGAAACTGCATTTCTGCCAGCTTTGAAAAGCTCCTGTGGACCTTCCTGAAGAAATCGGCTTGTTCCTCTCAGAGGGATTGCTCTGTTCTGTTTCCTTATTGAAAGAGGAAATTCCTGTGCAGTTTGCCAAGGGCTGGATGAATGCACACAGGGCAGGGGAAAGGGCTGGGATGGACAGATCAGGTCTGGGTGATTTTGCTCTTCTGCCAGGCTCTTCTTCTTAAAGCTGTTTATGTAATTGGCTTAATTGTTGCATCACCCACTGGAACATCAGCCATTGATGAACCTCTGTGCAGCCAGGGTGAGGGCAGTGATGTAAAAATCAAGAGTGCACCATAAATCCTCTCTCACCAGCACTCCTCAATATCAAACCAGATTGTCATGACCTGGGTGGAATATGAGCAGGATGCTGGAAGGACACATTCCAGCAAGGGTGTCCTGAGATTCACAGTGTCTCCAATACAATAATGGGGCTTGGATTGGTTTCACCTGCTTTTAATTCTTTCTAATTTAGTCTAGGCCTGCTCTTGACTGGGAGAAGCTTGGCCTGGGAGCCCTTCACCCTGGACAGCTCAGGTCCCTTATTTTCGGAAAGATGAAGTCTTGTCTGAACATAAAAGCATCAGTGGCAGCCACTTTGTACCAGTGAGATGCCACTTTTTTCTCCACATCTCTGCCTGCCTGGAGATCTCTCCACCCAACTGGATTTTGTGCAGGTTTAGAAGATGCTTGGTCAGCCAGAAATATGAGCCAAATCAACCACAGTGCAGAAAATCCAGAATTGTGACAGGAATTTCCACCATAAACCCTCTCTGCACCAGCAGTCACTGTGCTGGTAAGTAAGAATACCGTAATTTGGTTTAGAGAAAATGGTACTGTAATAATTAATAGGAAATATTTTTTATATCTCCAACAAAAAATTTTAGATGACATGTTGCCACAATAAGTAGACTTGCACGTCTGGAAATGGAGTTATCTCCAACCCTGCTGCCTTAAATCTGCTCCATAATAGCCTGGTAGTAGTTTATTTATATTAATTCCGTACTGTATATTTTGCATTTTTGTGGAAATGCCTAGAGCATGCATATTAAGCAGTTAAGAAAATTGATCTGCTTGAGCAGTGATAACATTTGCAGAATGAAATCCTCACAATTAGAGAGACGTTTGAAGAAACCATGTTAAAAGGTGCTGAAATGTTCTTGAAGAAATGCCACATGTTGCTGCGGGCAGTAATGAAACATTTCCATATAAAGTACTACATAAACACATAGAAAATGTAGACATATGTTAGCAGATTATGGGGTGTGAGAGTGATAGAGTAGTGATGATTATTTGCAAGTGTTAATGTTACCAAAGCTGAAGGTTATCTCCTGGTCCTGGACCCTATATGTAAATAATTATAGCTGGAAATATGCATTTTCAAAGCCATCAAACAAAATATATATCCAGCACTCCTGAAATACTGTAGAGTTTATTGATCTGCAGTGTAGGACAGTAAATTTTAGTAGATTTATGCTCAGATTTCGGTGAACATATGGCTTAAGACATGCAAGTTTGGAATAAAGTTATTCATATTACGCACACTAGCACATGGTTCAGGATTTGCAAGTCAGGGAGTGATCAATATGCAAAAGGTGAAGTCAAATATACATTACCCACACAGAGGGAATTTTCTATGCATAGCACAGAGCTCTTCTACCAGCAAGCCAGAGAATTTGGATCTCTGCATCTATCTATCAAATGTTTCCTGTGAAAATGTCCACCTATTGTGTAAATAGTCTTGTTCTAAATATCTGTTTGTGTGAGGTAACCTATATATTTTCACAGCATGCTGCACCCAAAATAGCACCTCAAAAAAAAAAAAATATATAACAATTTAAGATCCAGCAGTAACTTCAGCTTGGGGGTATGGTCTTAGTGGACCTTTGGTTGGGGTTTTCTTCCAAGCCTGCCTCAAACCCTTGAAAACCTCATTTTTTTCACTGGTGACTTTTGCATTTCTCCTTATATAAAAAACCTGTGCATTGCTCTTGCTCCAGGACTTAAAAGCAGAACTGTGAAATCAGGTAAGTTGGTTAAATATTTCTGCTGAGATTCTCGCTGTTGTTTTCCTAATGAGCATTTTCTCACATCCTTTTCTGTTGTGTTTTTTTTTTTCAAAATGTTTGCTTGAATTAGAAAACAATCTCTGTACTCCGAAGTGGCAAATCACTTGAGACTAGTTTCTGAATAGTGCTGAGAAATCCCTCTTTGCATATCTTTAAAGATGTTGCTCCAAGAAAAACAGGAATTTGTAACTCCAAAGCCTTCATCAGCCTTGTAACTTTGAAATAAATAGTTCTTGAAAGAATTCAGTACTTGCCAGACCTTCAGTTGTGTGCACTGAAGCTGTAGAAATTCAAGCAAAATAGACTTTATGATCTTTGCCTATTTAATAGAGGTTGTTTTTTCTTCATCACACAATTACGTCACCATTTCCCACTGCAGAAAGACCAGAAAGAGAAAAATCAGATCAATTAATAAAAATCATTTTATTATAAAAATTTTTATATCATTTCTGAATCCCTTTATCCATATGTATACATACACATATATATATATATAAATAAATGGATAGATAGATAGATAGATAGATATAACTATTTTTTAAAATATTTTTTTAACTAAATGGTATGATTGGAGTTAAATATTGGTCAAAACCAGCCCCTAGTCATTTCCTTTGGTTCTGGGTCAGGCCTGTTCTTGCACAAGCAGAAAAAATATTTAGGTTGTTGCAGGATAGATTAATTATAAATTATAAAAGGCATTATAATAATTATTTGCATTTCATACCTTGTTGCATTTGCTTATCAATGAAAGGAGTCCCCATGATTTTTTACCACCAATATACTGTATTTATGCAGAATTTACAGTGTGTTGTGTTGAAGGCACAGGTGCAGAGCCCAGTCTTTCTCCATGGCTTGGGAGGATGGATCCAATATTGGCAACATTGATGGAAATTCCAAAGGGAGAGTTGAGGGGATACTTGGGGTGCAAAGGGGGCCTGCAAATAGAATAATCCAGCCCATCTCATTCTCCTCCAGGCCCATTTCCCACAGGAAATGGGGAGGAAGAGCTGGCATGGGCTCCTGCAGAACCCCCGTGCTCCTTTCCCCGCAGCAGAGAGGGCAATGCCAAGTCCCCAGTGACATAAAGGGAAAAAAGGTATTTCTTCTATTTCATACATAATTTGCTAAATTAAGTTAGTTTGTCAATATTTAAATAAATTAAATTAAAGATTTACTAAATTTCACGACTTTTGAAAGGGGATGCATTAAAATTTGGAAGCAATAGATCACACAAGTGTATTTTCCAGCCACTCCTGTATTCAGAAACCCATCCATCTCCTTTCCAGAAAGGAGTTAACTTTCAGGATAAGTCTTTTCTTCTTCATTAGCTCTTTATTAGCATTGGGCTAATCAGGTCAGGCAGAATAAAAACTCATCAGAACCATCAGCCAAAGATCAGAGGAAGCCATTTTTCCTTTTGAAAGTTACATTTCCCATCTTTTCTGTCTTTTTTTCTTAATAATTTCTGTTCCTCCTGTTGTCATACAGGAACAGATGTGAATGAATTCCCCAAAGAAAATTTGCTCTTCCAGCATTCTGGTTCAATTTCTTTGTCCATGCCCATCCCCAAAGATAGTAAAAAGATAATATTTATAGGGAGATTTTACGACCTGTTTACTTCAGATCCTTTTTTGTATTTATAAAAAAAGCAGAGAAACCAAACTAAGTGATAAAGCAGCAGCTAGAGATGCCTTTTTCAGTCTAGGCATTCAGTGAATATTGCTCTGCTAGAATGAAAAAGTCAAATTGAGAAATATTTTTTAAATCATTAAAATATTAAAAATCATTCTGATAACAGCCTAGTAGCATAGATAATATTGGTAGTTATTGCAAAAGCAGTTTTAATTAATGTTTCTAATAACATATAGAACCCATGTAATATCAGCATGACTTTTCCATATTCCCATAGGGATCCAGGCTCTGCAGTGATTTAAAATGCTGATTTGGAGCTGGATTTGGATTTTTGTGGGTGAAAGGATGCTTGGCTGGATCCCTGAGGGTTGTAGCTCTAGATTCCACTTTGGGGCTGCTTTATTAATACCCTGGGACTTAAAAGTCTATGATATTTATTTTTGGTAAGGTACATGTGCACCTAAAGGATTTGCTCCATTTTTGGTAGAAAATGAGCAACCAGTAAATTGAAGGAGTTTAGGTGCAGCCAGGCCTAACCTTAGTGCAGACTTGGACAATGGTTTATATCTAATGGACACATCTATACAAATTTATAAATGAATATTGAGCTGTAATTAAGGAGAACTCCAATTGGACTCATCCAAAATTGGTAAAAGGTTTCTCTGCTCCTTGAGTCTCAGTTTGAGGGCTCATCCAGGCTGGAATACCTATGGAATGAAGTGGTTGTGTCTTAAATTGCATATGATGGGAAAGGAACGATGAGCCCCCTTGTAGCCACAGCTTTGTTCCTTGAGGAAAGAGCTGGAAAAGCCATCCCTCATTAATGGTTGGTGCTCCATGCTTACATATTCTGATGTTCCTGGGGTCACTGCTCCTCTGGGGATTTTCTTGAAGAGTTCTTCAAGCTTTTCTCCTTTGGAAAAGACTCTTGGGTCTTTTTCTCCTTTGGAGGCTGCAGCAAAATCCTGCTGCTTTTTTTGAGAGATCCAATGTCACCCAACCCAACAGCCAGAGCATGGTACTGGAAGTGTTCTAAGATCACTTTGGGAAAAAAAAAAAAATCACCAGCGCTTATTCAGCTTCTAGAAAGTCCAGTTTGGTCCTTTCCAATGTTTTTTGATGTGCAGGAAGCATTTTGCTGTTTGACCAGCTCATGGAAGAGTTTCCATGCTCAGCCCTCGGTGGAGCAGGAGACCTGATCATCCAGCACATCCCTTTAAACCGAGCCTCTGCCATCTGTTTCAACCTCTAATTACAAATGCAAAATAACACAATTCGCAATTGCATCATAAAAAAGTAAAATATAAGTGATTTAAATGCATGTGTGTGTTCCTTATGCAAGGCAACATTCATCTGTTATGTTTCACTGTCTTTTAGAAACAACTCCAGGGTGAAATCCCTCTTGGTGGAGGGAAGAAAAATTATTTCATTGTAAGACAGTTTTTGAAAGGTGTTTTACCAGGTTATATTGTGCTTTATATATTTGTCTCTTTTAAAATTCTCTTTCTTCTGCTGAAATAGCAGCATTGATGGGATGGGTGGTTTGTCCAGATCAGTCTGTTGTCTTCCAACGTGCAGCTTGGGGAATACTTTGGCTGACCAGGATCTCTCATGGATTCCCAAATCATCAGCCATGTGCTACTGCTGCTTCCTTCTTTTTATAAATCTGTATTTATTTATTTATGTCATTGTGTTTAAGGGTTTTTTTTATTTTTTACCTATAGATGGACAATTCCATCCAGTGCATCTCCTTCTTGAAGCAAAGGGTTGTTTTAAAAGCAACCTTTAGTTATCCCATTATGGAGCTCTTCTAGTTTTCCTGTGCTGGGAGAGGACATCACCTATGTAACCACTTAAACTCAGCTTTCTAAATAATTACATTAATTATGGTTTGCTGATTTGTGTTTAAGGTGTTTGTAAAATTCCATTATCACTAACATGTGTGTGATTAACTTTTGATTTCCCTCAGAATTTTCATTTCCGTTCACCAGCCACATTTCTCAGTCTGGAATAGACATCTTTGATTTCTCAACATCATTTTGGCACTGAGATGGCCCAAACCAAACATCCCATGCTCTGTAGACATCCCACTTTT